TGTCGCCGGTTATATTAATTAGCGGCGGCCCTCCGGGAATCGTTACCTACAGGATAATTGCGATCGTCGAGTTCGATCGACGTAACATACTTTCAGGCGTGCGTTCGCGCACCTGCGCGCGTGCTGCTTCGTTTTTGCTGCGAGAAAAGGAAAGCGTCGCTAATCATAAATCCGATGCAGAGAGTTATCTCTTTTTTTTTTTATCGGAAATGCGGACGGGGCCAAGAAAGTTTTATTCTCCCCCCGGCCTCGGATTTACTTTTCGCGATTGCGGATCGTTATGTTGATGCACATCGTCATCAAACCACCACAGGGAGAAGGAGATTCGCGCTCATCCTCGAGGAACGTTACTGGCGCCAAATCGAATGCGACGGGAAATCGGAATGCTCGGTGTAACGCGAATTCAAAATACGCGTTGGTGTTTGATTGAGACGTCACTCAAACGTGTATGTTGACTGATAGCCCCATTAACACGTTGACGCACTATCTGTGTTTGCTGGCGCGCTCAGCGCCTGAGTGCGATCAAACCCGCGCAGCGATTTTCAAATATTTTATTACTTCCTTTATCATTTCATAGAGCGTGTCACGCTCTATGTCATAATAATGGAAACGTATTTTGCGATCTATCGCCGCGATCTGGGCGCGAATTGAAAGATTTATACCCGCGAGGAGGGATTGATGCATAAGTGATGTATAAACGACAAGTGCCCACTGCTCCGTCATAATAATTTCACGAAGAGTCCACACGCCACGGCAAGTGACACTCGCGCAAAGACTTATAACGGCGACGAGACGACAAAGCTATAATTTTATCTGGCCTGAAAGGGTCATGACGACGATGACGACGACAAGGACGACGGGGACGATCACATCTGAGTGGAATACCGACATCGGCAGGTATCTCGTAATCGGCAACATAACCGGGGAAAAGTTCGGCGACAGTTCCTGACGAGTGTATCCGTCGTCGTGCTCGATCCATTAGTGTAATTGCAATTTATTTAGTAATTACTTTAATTAGTGAGCACCCACCCGTGCTTCAAGAGGTTCGCTGGAGTTGCATCAACGGGGAGAGAAACGGGCGGGACGGTGAAACACAGATGAAGGAGGAGGTGGAGGAGGGAGGGAGGAAGGGGGGAGGACAGCGGTAGGTAGGGTACTAACGGAATTAATTAATGAATTAGCCTTAAGGGATAAGGCGTAAAAACAAGCGGAGAATCGGGTTGAGGCGGCGCGGACGAGCGCCCGATTAAAATAAGTGGACTAAGTAAGCGAGTAACTAGCTAAGTGACGACTAACTGCCGTAACGTCGGAAAAGAAGAGCGAGGCGGATTCTCCGTGAGAATTAATGGCGCCCCCCACCCCTCTCCACCCACCCGAAATCCTTTCTTATCCGAGTCGCTTTAATACAACCGGCCGGTCTGATGCAAATTAAACTACCTTCGGAAATCCTTTATCGCGCTGCCGCGCTTAAGAGATATTTGCGCGCAAATATTCCGGACTAATTCGATCGTCAGTATAATCGGCCCACGCGATTTTTTCCAATAACTATTAACTCCGAAAATGGTTGCGTGGAAAGATTAAGCTGACACACCCTGTATAAGATAATGGTTGGAATTCGTTAGTAGTAGGGCCGATGATATCGGCCGTGTCGTGGATGTTTCATTTCTTTTGGATGAATCCAAGAATTATCCGTTTGAATATCAGTATTACTTTATAATATATAATCTATAGAGAATTATCACGCAATTGCATACTACTGTATACATTTCACATTATCAATGATTTCTGCTCGGTTGCGAGATAACTTCTGTTTAGCAACTAACAACTTGACACTACCAAGGCTGCCTCGTTCCGTCGCTACGTACGGCTGGAGGCTACCGTGTTTTTTTTCTTTTTTTTCTATAAAGCTGGTTCCAGCTACAAATCAGTTTCACGTGACTCGCGCGGTCGGGCCGGACGACACACTCGTGCGGAAACAATGCCGCTAATGGAGAAAAATCGCCCAGGTGTGATAACGCGGTGCCTTCGTATCCGCTAATGTGCTACACGATGTGCTACAACTACCCGCGCAATTAAGCGAAACATGTCGTCGGGATGCTGAAAAAAAGAAACAAACGGCTGTTGTCATTAAAGAATCTTTTTCGTAGTTAAGTATAACTGAATGTGATACAAAAAAATAATACATCATACTTATACTTTAAATGTGGAACGGAGATGCTGCACAATGAGACGAATGACTTATCAATTACATGACAATAAAATTTCTCGTAACGCGAATTTTATATAAAGTATGGAAATTGCCGTGCTATCAAAGAAGACCACTGAATTGACGAACGTTCGATCCTATTCGGCTTCCTTCGTCAGTGATCGATTTAACTGGACTAACAACAAGTGCGCAGAGCGGTCCGCCGGGATGCGATTGACCTGATTTTCCACAAGATTAATTCGCATTATTCACTTTCGGAATCGTGTCTAACCTTTCGGTACAGGGGTTTTATTTTTCTGCCCGTCCTCTCCCATCAACGTGTAGATATGCGACGATCCATATAACTAGGGAGGGAAAGATGGCGAGGGATTCGACGTGGCCGAAGGATCTCCGGGATCCTTCGAATTGGAGGGAATCGAGAGACTGTAAAATTGTCATTCGTGCTGGCAGCAACGCCGGAATGTCGCCGCTGACCGCTCGCTGGGAATTCACTCGTGCTCCCGCCGCCTAATAACTCGAGTAGAAGAGGGATGCTTCTCTGCAGATACGACTGTAACAAGGAATAATTGAATTAGAAGGACAAATGGTCTCCTCCTTTCGCCTACAGATATTTCGTTGGTGTTTCCACGACGTTACCGCCAAAAAATATTTTATAATCCCGCGCACTCTCACCCGTAGACAATATAACGCGTTTTTTAATACTCGCTCCTCAGATTATTTCCAATCAACTATTACGATTGCGCGCTGCGCTCCCATGAAAAACGAGAGAAAGAAAGAGAAAAAGATACGACATTTAATTAATACGCGGGACACACGTAAATTTTATTCCGTCGAGGGTCGAAGCGCAAAAACGAAACGCGGGGGAGTGGAGTTAATTAATTATTCCCTTATTACGCTACACCGGGACAGGGAGAGCGCGCCGGGGAGCGCGGGAAGAGAACGAGACTGCAGTCGTCTCATTTCTGACTACCTAGCGAAAATTTCGCTAAAGTGCTGCTCATGTGGAAATGACATAATTCGCGTGCGGCAAGGGCAATTGGCAGTAATTAAAGTGGGGCGGTGAGAGAGGGGTGGCCGGAGGGTAGCGGGGCATGAATGAAATTAAGGCGGGTAGCGAAGATGACCGTTTACATGGGTCCACGTCTGCTCGACTACGCTCTCTGTGCCGCGACAATAAAACGAATTTGCATACGGGACAACTCGCCCCCGGACGAATGTCCCGTGTCTGCGTCTCTCGTAGCGGAACATTTTCCTCGGACGGACAAACGGAGTCATCGGCGCGCCCGAAAAAGCTGAATTGCCGTGTATTAAGAATTTATTAACCGTCGTTTTCACCGAATCGCCGAAAGTATCTCCACGGTCGCGTAGAGCAAAATTGTGCTGTTAAGGAAGCTATTAAAATGTTCGTTTTACGTATGTTGAGCTCGAATAGAACGGAGATATTAGTTGCTTTCCATTTACGTCAAAACTCAGATAATTCTCACTTGTGATGTTATTCTGTCTTTATTATTCATTAATTGCCAAAAAGAATAGAACGACGTCACAAGTGAGAATTATCTGAGTTTTGATGTAAATGGAAAGCACCTATTGTTCCTTTCTTCCTGAGATTCACCGTTTGCTATCTAATGTCCATTTTTGCCAAACAAGCTGCACTTCCGAGCTTGGTACACCAGGACGAAATTTTCGCGCAACAGTAATGGCAATGTTCGGGAATGTTTAAGAGATAAAACGGACAAAGCCAAAATGCAGAAACATTCGCAAGGAAGGCGAATGCCGAAGCGGAACACGCCGCAGCATTTTTGCGGCGAGCGAACGACGACTCGCGTTAGTGTGCGCGCGCGTTCGCTCGCTCGTGCTACAACGTATTTGCGAGATCCGCCGTGCTGATGGACATATAATGCGACGTGTGATTGTAGGCCCGCCAATCGCGGCCGATTGTGCCCCTGAAGGCCCGCTAACTATCTCAAACTAGCCCCATTCAAGCCTCGCGACCTCTCTCTATCCACCTCTATCTGTCTATATCCATCTCTGTAGCCCGCCACCTCAGCCACTCTACCCCTTTCGCTCTCTCAACCCCGGGTCTCTTCCGACCATCCCTCCCCCCCTCCCAGTTGGTCCGTCTCCAAAGCGAGCGCGAGCGCGCGAATCTACGCGCGTCGCGTCTCCGCTCCGCTCCTCCAGTTCCTCCGCGTTATATGTATTCATATTTCATATATATACACACACATGGGTATATATACACATATATATATATATATATATGTGTATGTATGTATATATATATATATGTATGTAGATATAGATGTAATATAAGCCACACGCGTAGGGCGTACGTGGAAATTCCGAATCTATCAGCCGCCCAGACGAATGCAAATGGCGCATGAAGCGCGCTTAATAAAGCCTGTACGCAACTTGCGAATCGCAATTTTCTTTAGGACGTGCTGCCCGTGACGATCACGCGTGGACTTCGTGCGAAAAATTCCTGGCTCTTTCGTGCGAACGACGCGATTCATCGGGATATTAAATAAATGCATCATTTAGTGGTGGCTTTTCAGCGAATTCGCGTGTCTTGAATACAGCGACTTGATCGCGTGACTATTCTTTTGTGAAGTATTTTTCCGAGGATAAGTGCAGTTTATATATGATCCAATGATCGAAAGAATCAATTATCTTTCGCGAACCAAAATAAAATTCGACAAGTATCAAAATGAATGATGAATGATTACAATAATGAACATTTTATTATTTCTACTTATTCTATGAAAAATATACATACAATTTGTATTATCTATATTACTGCGATAATATATGTTCTGACATATAAAAAAATATAACTTTATATTTTCTCTTTTACGCACTTAACTCAATGTACATATATATTAACATCTAATATACGTACATTAAATTCAGTTTACCCGATTGTCCAAAATTAAAACATATTTTGACAATCGAAGGTTTATTTTGTATATTAATTTCTATAAATGCATACTTTGAAAAAAGTGGAAGACTTACTTAGTCATACAAAATTTATAAAAAAAATCTGAAATTTTCGCAATTGTCAGTTTAACATATCAGTTGATCACGATTTTTTTTTTTTTTTCCTACAGAATGTCAGGTTGCGATTTTCGGTGCATAACCGATAATAAATTCGCCGATACTTGCAAATCGGTCGCCACCGACCCGGGCGATCCATCTACCTCTGCTTGATATTTTTGTCGTGGTAACCACCTGTAAATCAAAAGTGACATTTCTTTCGTTGTAATAAAAGTTTCTAAACAAGTCGATTACCTATGAATCACCGGAGAGAGCAAATCCTTGTCGATCGATGAAGGATCTCGTGCACCTGTCATCCAGGTGACAATCCCACCCACCACAAGTACCACCAGCGTGCCAATAGGAGCAACCCAGTGGTAGGATAACCGATACAACGGGAAGACATCGTCTTCGCTGCACAACACGCGCGAGTTAATACACAACCGATACGAGATACATTAAGAACGTTAATTAAAATAAAAATAGACAGAATAAACTTACTTGGGCCATTCGAATTGCTTTAAGAAATGTTGGCTGACATTTCCCGCACACTGCGCAACTGGAAGTTTCTTCGGTACCACGAGACCAGAAGCGATAGCCGCATTCGCACCAAAACTGACCCATCCAGACATCATAAATCCTGCAATGGCGCCAATAAAGGCACCCTGCGCAAAACAGATATACACGAAATAATAGAGTTTGTTTGAAAAATAATTTATTCGTTCGAGAGTTGATCAGATTTTGTTTCGTACCTTAGAATTTGCCCATGGAAACAAAATTCCCAGAGTAAAAACGCCAAAAGAAGTCCCAGCAGCGATGGCGGCCAAACTATTCGTTACCTAAATCGTAATAATAAAAATTACAACAGCATTTTGAAGTTTTAAGATACATAGAGAGATTGCGACGGAATAACAACAACATAAAATCCGGACACTCACAGCTAGAACTCCTCCTAGTTTCTCAATCAAGAAAAGCAAGCACATCGCCAACAAACCGAACAGGACGACAAGGGTTTTCACGAAAATCGTGGAACAACGATCGTTGGGCTTCATTTTAAAGCAACCTTTGACGAAGTCCTCCAGAATCACAACGGACGTTGAGTTGAAGCCCACTGATAGTGAGCTGTTGAAAAAGGACAATTCTAATATTTGCTCGTGACGGCTCAACAACTAAACATTCCTCACCAATTATATTAATTTTCTCGATCGACCGAATGACTCACGTCAAATGGAAGAACAAATAAGTGAACTTTTATTTTTTTTTCTTGTTTTATGTTTAAATTATAACATGATAAGCACGGGACAAATTTCAAAAAGATAATAAATTGTTTTGCTTATGTGCTGTTCGATTTAATGTGTAAAAATTACTCGTTTATTCAACAAAATTTATTTTTAAATAATTTTTTTTATAAATATTCGAAATTCGTTGATCTGGCACAGGTATCTGAGCAAATAATTATTACATTTTATTTAATTTATTTAATTACGTTAATTCGATCTCCATTACCTGAGCGCCGCGCCAAAAATTCCGGAAATAAAGAGGCCAGGTATCCCATGCAAATGATGGGCGATCTCCATGACATAAGCCGGCAACAGTTGATCGTCGGCCGTAATTAAGCCGGAAGCTCTTGGATCGCATTTCGGTGGCGACCACCAAGCGAGGAGGACCAGTCCGCACCAGCAGCATATTGAAATAAACAACATTATGCTGACGGTAAATATCGCGATGGATCTGTAATGGAGATATGTAAAGATTCGCGACATTGGCTATATTAATATAGACATAAATAAAAACAATATATGTATAATACATATATTACTTTCTATTATCTCTTATAATCTTGTAGCATAAAATTACCGTGATTAAACGTTATTAATATAATCAGTGTACTCACGTACAATTGAGATATTTTCGTGCTTTTTAACGATTTGTATCGTTGCACCATAGTTTGATTGACAGCGATGTACGCTGTACTGTACAACCAAGAACCAATCAGAACTGTCCAAACGGTGTGTCTCGTGTAGGGGGATGGATCGAAGCTATATAACAGAAGGGAATACAAGACAATATTCGATAAGCTTGCCCAAAACAGATCGTTCTTTGAATTCTTACTTGAAAAATTCGATGCGATCGGCATCGATGGCCCTATTCCAAATTTCAGATACTCCTCCCATTTGATAGGTCCCTAAAGCGGCAACTGAGATAGCCCCCGCTATCATCACGCCAACTTGTAACGCGTCTGTCCAAACCACTGCTCGAATACCGCCCTAATAAAACAAAACAAGAAAGAAATGATAGCGCAGTGTAGAATAATATATCTTATTTATAGGAGGAAAGCGCTCTCGAATTTCTCGGAACAATTTTACTTGATCTACACGCGTATCCGGTTTAATCAGTCTGCTTTCTCTTGTAACAACAAGAATCGGAACAAGATTATAAGTTAAGAATTTGATTATTTGATTCGGATGATATTATGCAATTTCCCCCATCTCCCGATAAAAAGCGATATTTTCGCGGCGGCGTTACCTATTTCTGAAGAATGCGATAACGGGGAATGCTTTTTCGAGTGCTTTGCAATTGCATAATAGTCCACAGCACGTTCGCGCGTGCGCAGACAGCGTATAATAAACAAATTTGTAAAGAGCCACTCAACCACGATAAATTCTCATTAATACGAGATCCAACAAATTGCTCGGATAATTACAGGCGCGCGATCCCGCGATTAATCACTTCAGCGCCGGCTTTGTGATCCGCTGCTACGATAACATCCGCTCGACGTTCTCCGCGCCATTGTTTCCCCGCGCCATTGTCGGGCTTTCAGTTTCCGTCCATAAACATTTCCAGTACTAAGGCTCTCGCGTGAGATTCTTCACGGTATTGTCCACTGAAAATTGTTTCCTACGGTAGACCGTGTCCAAGGAACTCCAGCCATTCCGCGGGAATTTGGCGAACGAGCCTCCCCCGGAAAATTAGCTTAGGCAGCTTAGGCTTCCATTTCCCCGACCGCCACGACCGTTGTCGTATAACCGCTCTTGTTAACATTCAAGTGTACGATCGTCGATATGACAATCGTTCGATCTTTCATGCAGTCCTGATCAATCTTTCTTTTCACTTTTATTTACGCGGCAGATGAGAGAGAGAGAGAGAGAGAGAGAGAGAGAGAGAGGATTAATTTGTCAATCAAAACTAATAAAAGAAATTAGATGACACTTATCGTATTTAAATCGCAACTTACCAAAACAGTATAGAACACGCAGACGACACATACAATAGTTCCGATCAAATGTATATTGATGCCGCTCACTATAATGAATTATTAAGAATCTTAATGGAAATAGATTAAAATCTTAACGTGAATAATATATAACGTGAATATAAAATACCTTGATTTAACGCCAGCGCGGGGACATAGACCACGATCGATTGGTAAAGAATCTGAAATGAATCAATTCAATTTTTATTCACACGACTTTTCAAAACAGTTGTGAAAAAAAGCATCAGGCCAGATGTAGACTTACCACGTCAAAAACGAAAATTGAGGAAATCAGAATCCGCACGGGTCGACTAAATCGAATTTCCAAATACTGAAAGAAGAGTGTTTACCGTCAAAATTGTGCCTCATTGAGAGGCACATTAAATGGAAATTAAACAAAAAGGACGAACCTCGTAAACGGAGTTAAGTTGCAGAGTAGTAAATACAGGAAGATACACAGTAGCGACCACGATACCGGAGAAAAGAATCGAGATGATCGTGATCCAATATTGCGTGCCAAAGTTGTAGATTTCCGCTGGAGTACCCAAGATCGTCACGCCTGATATGAAGCTACAGTTACGATCGGAATTGATTAAATATTCTGACTAATCAATTAAGCCCGAATCGAACGATAAATGTCAATAAGCTACGAGTCAATTTTTATGTAACATTTCTCTCTAAAATTGACATAAACACTGCTCATAAACGTTAAAAGTTAAAATAAACATCACGAATGTCAAAAGAGCTTTAATCTGAATCGAGATACAGGATTTGCAAGATCGTTCAAAAAAGAATTTTTAACAGGTATTACAGTTTCTGCCTTCCCGACGTTAACGAATTCTTTAATTTTTCCGTTACGTTTCAGGGTGTTTTAAGTTCATGTTTTTCATCCGGTTGTTTTATTTCCTTTTCTTCTTTTAATAGTCTTAAATCCTATAGAATGACGAACCAAGCTTACCTGGCAACGAGAGAAGCGGACACGGGAAAGAGTCCTAAGCTCTTTCCTCCAAGCAGGTAGTCTTGTGTGCTTGACTTTTGCGCCCTTCTGAAGTGCCATAAGCCGGCTGCGGCAGACACGAGGAGCATAAGTGCAAACACCATCCAATCGATCCAATGGAAGTATCCTCTTTCCGATACAGCTACCATCTTTACTGAAATCAAAGAGCGAAATATATCCAATGCATTCTGAATGGTGCATTTATGTATAACTAGATTTTTAAATATACATATACGTATGTATCGGAATGACCTATATAGCATCAATCACTGATACAATTCGGTTTTAACATGAATTTTTTTTATTAAGCGGTCTGATAGATCATGGCATACTTTATTTGTAAACTTTTTGAATTTTTGCAATATCTTCAAAATTGAAGAAAATATAGTACACGAAAGTGTGCAGTGACGTCATACTTTATATAAGAAATGACGTCATACTTTTTGAAGTTGCCGTCATCAAAGAAACTTTAGCAAGTTATAACTTTCTCAAATTTAGGTTTTTTTTTAAATTGAAAAAGTACTAAAAATCGGCTTAGATTCTCTACATTAATTATGGATACCGTTTAATAAAAAAAAAAAAAAATGTTAAAACCGGATTCTACCAGATATTTGTTAGCATATCTTAATCACAGTCAGCACATTAATTTACCACGTATATGGATACATCATATTTTAGCATTTTATCTGTCTTTTAAGAATGTTTACATTTTACATTGTAACATCCTTAATTCTCTCTGAATAGTTCTTCGGTTAATTAAAAGTTATAAATACCGCTATTAAATAATTTTACTTATTATGAAAGCATATCGCCGTTTGTTAAAATCGATTTTTTTTAACAAAATGGCAACGAATTGAAACTCAGGTATGGAAAATCTGTGAGAAAATGTCGTCATTTTTACGTAATTATTAAAAAATAAAGTTCGATTTAAAAAAAGTAAGATCGTCACCGACCTCTAAATGTTTCCAGCGTATTTTGTGTAAATTTGAAAACGATCCATCGAGCGGTTTTCCAGATATGATGTCCACCGGCTTCGAAAACAGTGTTTTGAGAAAAACGCGTTGAAAGTTTCAAGTATGGTTCTATATTGTTAAGTGAAGAATTTTTAACTTTACCTCTAAGTTGTCAATTCCAGGACCATATAGAGTACCCTCAGCAGCAATTGCAGCTTCACGGGAAGAGGATTGTTTTTGTCTGCGAGCAATTCTTCCTTCGCGCGTCGCCTCCTATACTCGAATTTCAGCTAAATTGATGCGGAATTTTCGCTTTCGATGCCATTATTACCACTTTACGTACGCTTCGAAACTGGAATACACGAACAGAAGAGCAAGTAAAAGTCTACTAGTACGTCTACTCGCTAGCTCAACGGCTTTCGTACTGAATTCTAACGATCCTCAGCTGAAGGACACAGGTAAGGTCGCTTCCCTAGGTCCCTAAAAGGGACTCTTTTGCCTTGAGCAACAATACATAATGAAGATCGAGAGGACAACTGAAACCTAAAATACCGCTGGAGCGATATTTTCCGTGCGCGCCACGTTAGGTAGCGGAGCTCGAACTCTCGAACGCTCAAACTTGTTTTTTTTCTCGGAATTCTATAACTTCGTCAATTTTATAGATATCGATGTGAAATTTTCAGGATATATTCTTAACACTTGAAACTTTTAGAAAACGCAAAAAAAAGCAAAAAAAATTTCTAGGTGGATGTAGCTCCGGGGGGACCATGGAAGAAATACTTATGTGATACCCGGGTTCCCCTCCCCCCCCGTAACGGAGCAGCGCTTAGGAGGGACTATAGTGGAGGTTTTAGCCGGTAGGCCATGGGTGACGTCGCTTCGGCGATATGCGCCCGTGGAATCCGGCACTACCCCGCCTCGGGCCCGAAAGGCGGGGTGTCTTTTGAAGATTTCCTCCACTAAAAAAAAAAAAAAAAAAAAAAAAACTCCTTAACTACTAATTTAATGAATGTCAATCGTAAGTGTCACATTATCTAATGGCAGATACAGAATCGGCGGGATGCTTAATTATTAACAACCTTGTCGCGACTGTTTGCAATGACAGAGTCTTTCGCGATAATCAGGTCAATTATTTCAGTCAATATCAATATATACCAGCTAAAAACTATCCCGATCACATTTCTTTCCGCATCGAATCATGTCATGCATTGTATTTTTTTTTTTTTTTTTTTAGATCAGCGTTAAAATTATGAGTCCCATCTCGGATTACAAAGCCGACGTACCGATATTTTTAATCCGTTAGACCTACGGCAAAGACTTAATCGACTGGCGCGTCGCCAGAAATATTTCGCCGAGTTTTTATTCGGCTTGTATCATGTAACGCGTTTGCTATTTAATGTCTATCAATGTTATGCAGTAATTAAGTATCACTCGTGACAATAAAAATGTATCAAGGATGTATGTCGCGTCATCAATTGATCGCAAAGGATATCGCGACCATATTATTAATGCCCGCTGTCGTTAACGTTTCCTTGGGTAGAGAAGCTACTGACCCATGACTTCTTTGCACGTGCTAGTCATTTGGTCTCGTTAACGTTGAATGACAATTGCGACAGTATTCTCAGTTACACAGTTCGCGATGCCATTCCTGAAATCCCGTATTTCCGTTTCACACTAACGAGCGGTGAAGTATGGTTACAATAGATAATGGTTTAATCAGAGAAAGATAATACTCTAAACCAAAGGGACTTTCAACGATAAGACTAGGAAAAATCGTAAATTAGAGACGTGAAAGATATAAATCGCTACATTATCACGCATTCCGATCTGTTATTTTTATATAGATCTTTTTTTAATATGTATTTTTATCTTCTATTTTTATATTCTTTTGAATAATCTTACGAAGAGTTATTATCATGAGTGGACGTTTATGGTGCTAGAAAATACATTTGACGGTCGATACTATTTCTGCAAAGTCGCATGGAATTCCGAGTTCAAAGTTCTGTTATTTTCCAATCAATCGCCAGGGTCAATTGCCGAGGCGCGCGAGCGTTAACAAGCGGAAAGTAGTCCGTAAGCCGATCGTGAAACCATGCCAGTTCTCATTACCGTTCTCAGTAGAATTTGCATTGCTAATTAATATTCGAATCATCAAGGCGACTCGATTTTACAATGAAAATTTTTCGAAAATCATACTTGTACCGCGTACTTCATTAAAATTACAAAATCTAATTACCATGCTTTTATGAAGTTACATGAAATAGCAGTCTCATGAACGACCGTTTGACTCGAAAGATCTTCAACGAGAGAAGCTGTGGTCGGACTGATTCCGCGCGTTATCATTCTATGTAAAGTCCAATAGTCGTGTTCATCAACGTCATGATAATAATGGAATTCGATAAATTATCAATAGACAACAGACACGTGAATGGAAAAGACAATCGCTTTAAAAATTTTCTCGAGGATTTCATCGACTCCGGAATTTTCAACTTGGTTTCGATCGATGAGTACTTCCTGCCTGATAATTACTTAATACATGCGTCGGACGAATGTAATTAGTCGCATCAGCAGTGGATAATCGGCGCTTACCGACTATTACGATCACGCGTGAGATAGTCGACGGACGGTACACGCTTCTATCATTATAAATAGTCATTTTTAGTCATATTATATTCAATAGTTATATTTAGTACAGTCATGTGGTTCACATGGACATTCACGAAGATGTGCGACAAGATCTTGAGAAATAAGGATGTGACAAACAATGATACGCGGACGATCCTTAATCAGCGATCGGTAAAAGCTGCATGAGACGCCCGTTTAACTCTCTCTCTCTTCCGCTTTTGGACTTTCTCTTTTGAATTTCCCTCAATCTGTTCCTTTACGCAAACACAAATTGATGATTTGTGCAAATTGTAATCATGAATGAAGCAATGAAAATTATTTTCTCTTTAGCGATTGCGTGTGGAACTGTGGAAGAACGGAGTAGGTTTTACAGCTGCTTGTCTCGAATGCGCGTACTTAATGAGCGTCGCGCGTAACGAGCAGCGTCTAAAATTTAATCGTCCTATTTTTACCGAAGATTTCGAGAGAACTACATTCGTCGCTCGTCTCGGAAACTGTTTATATATTACAACAATCTGCATCTAATTCGCGCGAAAGAGACCGAGAAAGAGACCAGCTAACAAAAACCTCTGAATCACATCTAACCGGTTTGATAGGAAGAGGGAAATTAAATCTACACTGATATTCAACGCTAAATGCCACACGCACGAACACTCGAGGAATCCCGAAAAAAACGATCTTATATTCGACTTCTTTTTCCTCTTGATAAAATAAATATTCTGCTGACTTTCCCGGTACGCATTCTTAAAATTGTTGACGCCTTACTAACCTTGGGGTGAAAACTAAAACTCGACACTATTTCATTCCAGTCTGATTCTAGATTTCTGTTGTACCGGGTTTTAGCGCATCGCGCACCACTGTGCGGCGGTGCTTTCAAAAACAGCGACCAAGTTCGTCCTCCAAACAGCAAACTCCCTTTTTTCAAACACACAATGTCAATAATTCTTCTGTTCTCCTATTCTCTCTCTTTCTTTCGTTCTCTCTCTTTTTCTCTCTTGTTCCTCCCTTCAAGTTTAAAATCTTTTCTCATCGATTATTCACATAATGGTCAAATCGATCACGAATCACATAATGGTCAACGTAGTTTCGTACAAACTCCGTTGTCTCATCAGTCAAACAAATGGGAGCAACAGGGAGAAAGAATGCGAAAATTTTCAAAGTACCCCTCGAGAATTTGCCGACTGAATATCGAATCTCACGCAACAGAGTCCCGTCGGGAACTTTTGACCGTTTGATTCCGCACGAGGCACATGGCGCGAAGTTTCACCGCGCGGTGACGCCAAGCGTAAGTGTTCTCAGCGTTCTCCAACGATGACGGTGACATATGCTCTCCGTTGTTCTCGCCTCTTAACCGCGTGGACGTCGACCGGCTATCATGCGCGGCTCAACGCGGCTGACCGAAGCGTGGATGCGTCCGTAAGCGACGACCGCGATCGACTGAGCACGGCTCGACACTCTCGACAGCGTATAGCGATTACGTCGCGAGACACAAATCGCGCGTGCTTTCGCGCGTGCTAAAAAAAGGCGTCATTGACAGTGGCACGCACAGTCAGCGACTACGGCCGAGGCACGACGCACGACAGCGCGCGGTGATTTGAGCGTTATCGATCAAGAGACTGACGAGACTTTGCCCTGTTACGAGTCCCTAAGGCTCCTTTCTAGTCTCCACACTCATGACCTTATATATTAGGCCTGTGACGTCAAAATCTCATAAAATCGTATAATAATACATAGCGGCCAAACGAACTGGAAACTCACTTTTTTATCATATTGCATTAGTAAATACATTGATGTATAACAAAATTTAATTTGCGCGTATCGGCGCCTTCCAATAAAAATAAAAATAATGGTAGCCGGTGAAAATTTACAGCTATTTATTCATCTGCGAACCGAAATGAGCGTCTTCGGCATCTTTGCCAGTCGAATCTGCTCGGTGTCATGCCGAAAGAAATGAATTTATTTCGATGTGTATTGCGAGTAAAAAAATTCCTGGCGGCAATTGAAAGAATGGCTACATCTCAATAAAATTGGAACCAAAAGAACTGCTTCGCGGTTGAGCAGTTTTAAATACTCAAACGCGAATCTGTCGACCCTAAAATCAAAAATGATAACCCCGACGAATATGACGACCGTAAATAAAATCTCCCCTTGCAACGTCAATTCGTCAATTCGTTCATTTTGAATGAGCATTTTCTTTATTAGTATTATTATATAAATGTATAATAATATTACAACTACATTTAGTCCGATTCGAATAAAGAAATGTTGATCTTTCACTTCGTAACTTTGTCGCAGAAATAGTGACATGAAACAGTGAAAATTAATTGCACACCTCAAATAAAATCCGGAAATGACCGGAAACTAAAATAACGCACAATTGCTTAAATTCCCAGACGTGAAATCGTAAGAATATCACACAATATGCAACATCATCGAAGTGGAATGGAATTGTTGACGTATAAAACTACATACAATCATATCCAATATCGCAGTTAGAAAATCATTCGCATAAGTATTTTATGTTTCGTTCATTTAATAACGAAAGAAAGGTTCGATTACAAATATTACAACCGTAGCCGTTCCGTGTGCATATCTGTACAAAATGTATCTATATACATTTATATAAATCTATATATAAATATAGATTTATATAGATTTATAGATATCTATATAGATTTATATATAAATTTATATGAATCTATATATAAAGGACCCCACTATATCCTTAATCCTTATGGAAATTGGGTTTCGGTGAAATTAGCTGAAACTTTGGAAATAAATAGTTTGTTTTATGTGATGCTGATCAAAAGTCACAATGGGCAAGATTCGTAATAATCAACTGTTTAGATGCTATCAGCGATCAAAAGTCAAAATAAGGCGTTATGCATGTCAACACTATTGTGGGACAGTGAACTGCAATGTATTATTCTGCAGAATCATACTACTTATTCTTTTTGTTAATACAAAAATATGTATTTATGTGAAGAAAATATGTATGCATGCATGTGTGTATACATATATATGAATTATAATCTTATAACATAATTCACATACTGCATATACATTTTTTTCACATAAATACATATTTTTGTATTAACAAGAATTAAGTTGTGTGATTCTGTAGAATAATACATTGCAATCCACTGTCCCACAATAGTACTGACATAATGCCTTATTTTGACTTTTGGACGCTGATAGCGCTTAAACGATCGATTATGACGATTATTGTGAATCTTGCCCATTATAACTTTTAATCAGCATCATAAAAACTATATATTTCTACAGTTTCAGCCAATTACACCGAAATCCATTGTACCACAATAATACTGAAAAATAACACCTTATTTTTACTTATGAACGCTGATAGCATATAAACGGTTGATTATTGTGAATTTTGCCCGTTGTGACTTTTGATTACGCATAAACCATGGGGTCCTTTATATGTTTGTGTTAAAAATGTCTACATGTTTGTGCCAAGTGCAAGTATTGTAAAAAAAAAGTAAACCGTTTTATCTACAAGTTATATACATGTGTATGCGCGTCTTTCCTTAAGCGATCAATATTTGGTGTTAATATGTTGACAAAATATTAAATTGTCCACAAAATATTGTTCTACATCAATAAATATATAAAGACAATACTGACTTGATATCGAAATAATTATAGACACGATTATCGAACATCATTAATATCCTCATCGACAATAAATAATGATCGCCGGAGCGCTGTTTCTTGTTCCACGGAGAAAAAGTTGACAGCATAGAGTGAACAATTAGGTGAGTAATGATTGGATGCACATATTTATATTTTCACATTACATTTTTATACACAACGTACGAATAGAGAAAACAAAAAAAAAATATCGACATAAAATACAAAATGCAATTGGAGACAATAATTCATTCACGTATTCACAGGTACACATCATCGATCCTTAAATATAAAAATCGTCAGCTCTTAACGTGGAACAAGATCAGTAACAAAAGTTACATACAAAAATCTTTGATACAGTCTGTAATCGGTAAAAGGTAGTTTCATCACAGTTTGTGTTGTCTTCCCTCGCCAAAGAGCCATAGGCAAGCTCTGTCGACTATATAAGCGAAGACAAAATCCGCGACTAGCATTTGAACCAGTATCGTACGGAACTACAACATATAATAGTATGTAAGCAATATATGTGATATACATTCAACGGCGAATAAATTACGATAAGCTCAATTATATATTTGCGCGTGACGTAAAACTTACTTGGCTTGGAAAGTCTACAATCTCGAACTGCACCGCTAAATCCGGCAAAAATCCACAAGCCAGTAATAAAATAATGGCAGAAGTGCCCACAAGACTGAACAAAAGAGTCTTATTTTGTGTCAAACTTTCCATGAATGGCTGGCCCTGTCAGAGCGTGACATAATTAGCGTTTATTATCAATGATATTGCATTAGTTGGATGATAGAATATAAGGGATAACTTACTCGATAATTTATAGCAAAAGTAGAAACCTGAAGAGCCATTGCGATTATGTACACAGTACTATTAATTATATTCGCCTCAAAGGGTTCTTCCTCGCTGCTGTCATTTTCTTCCAATGAACTCGGTTCATGGGAAGTGTTCAGGATAGCTGCCAACTTATCGTCTCTATAAAAGAAGTAATTTGAAAAGCACAGTCGAGTGATTTCGTTTTAACTTGCACAACTTACTTCGGAGATAAAATGGTAGCTTCTTTCACCAAGTAGACGAGGCAGATGAAATGTACGGCAAACTGCAATAATACAGTTGCGATGGTGTACAAATTGAAGATATTTGGTAGCGGTCTTTGCTGCGACAGAATTTTCAGCGGTTTTGATCGTGAGATGAAGAGGAAACATGCCGCTAAAAGAATACCCTGCAAAGTCGCCTGCGCGTCGCTAAACTTGATTCCATCCAAATACAATACTGACTGACTATAAGCGAGTATCAGCGCATTCAGTGCCAATATTTTGAACATCTGCAGAGTGGTGACAAGAGTGCAGCGTCCCTGCTTTATCACGTGACATACTGCAAGAAAATGAATACTTGTGGTTCCGGAAAACGAATCGATTTGGCAGTGTCCCGTGATGCTTACTGCATTGAATGGATGACATTTTGCTGGTGAAGGGGGCCGCGATGGAAGCGTCACCGAGTTTCACAATCACAGACTGCTCTTGCACCTCGTTGTCAATCTCCTTCAGCATCTTCTGCAGCTTCGTGCGAGTGTTCACCGGGGCAGCTCTCGGATTGTTTCTTGGCCCGTTGTTTACGGGCGATGTTAAAGTATCATTCCTTGGATCTTTTCGCTTATCGGAAATTATTCTTTCGGGCGGACTGGACAGAATTGCGACACCTACCAGGGGGAAAAAAAAAGAAAAAACGAGTACATCCAACTTTTACCGCATCCTCTTCATCAACTTACCCACTTGTGCGTGTTTCAAAGCTCCAACATCGTTCGTCCCGTCACCGCACATCAACGTCGTATAACCTAAGGATTGTAGCGATACGATAATGAATTCTTTTTGCTTCGGTGCACATCGCGCGAAGATTACGATATGTGGCAAGAGCTCTCGAAGAAGTTTCCGTCGTTTTTCCTTCAGATACGATAAACCCTAGAAAAATACATTATGCAGTAACAAACGATCGCTGTAATTCTAATTGATAGAAGATCTTGTTTATCTACATACTTCACCCGTTACGCAAAGCGCGTGATCCCTCCAGATTTCTTTGTACGATTCGACATTTTCATCGCTTAGAGGAACCTGCGTCAACTTGTCTATGCTTTCCCACAACCATTGATCATCATCCACAGTCAGTATAAGTGTGCTAGGCTTCTTCGTGAAATGCAGCTCGCGGCTTACATGACAGGCCGTCAAAGGATTATCACCCGTTATCATCACGACCTAAATAATTGTATGTTAAACTTATTCAGTTTCTGATAATTTTGCGAAAATATTTTTTTTCGAATACACTTTTATGTATCGCGATGTCTCAACAATAAGGTCATACACGTACCGAGTGCGATGAATTGACGATCTCTTTGATAACGGCTTTCGAGTCAGGTTTGAGAGGGCAGCTGATAATGACAAATCCCGCAAATGTGAGATTGCTCTCCAACTTTTCACGAGTTAATTCTCTCAAGTCTTGAGAGGATAAGCTACCAGTAAGTTTTCGATATCCCAAAGCGAGCACTCTTGCGCCGCGTCGTGAAAGAGATAAGTAAGTTGAATCGTAATTCTCCGGCACGGAAGATAACTGAAATGGCAGATTATATTAATAACGACAAACATAAAAATCAAATGAAATTGTAGACAAATATTATTTTATTCACCATATTCTTCAGGGTTTCTGGCGCGCCTTTTACCATAGCCATATAATGCACTTCTGAAGCTCCAGGAAGAGTATATCCAGCCACAACGCACATTCTTTTCAAAGCCGATGAAAAGTGATACCTCTGTATAATCTTCAGTGCTGGAGATTTGCACTTTTTAGGAATTACAGAATCACCTGAAATGGGACATTAGCGTAAAGCAATGCTTCAATATTCTTGCGTTGTATTATTTGCGAATGTATACCTACTTTTCGTGAGAGTCCAATTGATAGCATTGAGAGTGGCCTTCTCTAGTGGATCCCCGACAATACCGTCATCTAATTGAACAAGAGAATGACATGTGGCAAGCACTTGAATACTCCCCAGAGGTGCATTTGTTAGTTGAATCACGTCCGAGTTGCCGCTTAAAAAGAAAAAAAATTAAAATCGTATTTAATAGCGCGAAAAGTTATGCGAGCATAATAAAATGAATAGTAATTTCTTACTTGATACCCGCGATACCCTCGACAACCAAATTATCGCTGGTAAGCGTACCGGTCTTGTCAAAACAACAAATGTCAACTTTGCCAGCGAATGGAATTCTGAATGGTTCTGTGCAGAACACACCTATGAACAGACGAGGCATGGTAATTTTTACGTGTATATGACTAGTATACGATTAAAAGCCTTCGGCAAAGTATGAATCTGTCTTAAATACCTAACTTGGCTAGAGCTACCAGAGATGTGTTAACAGCCAGAGACAACTCTATAGGTAACTCTGGTGGTACAACGGACGTCAAAATCAACGTGCATTCCAAAAATAGTTTGTACTTGTTCCTCGTAGGATCCTCGCTGCCTAAAATCGAAATTTTTGCGACGTGTAACTTCATCGTATAGTCCTCACCTTTATGCGTAGGATCGAATTACCTTTGACCCAAACATACGCGGCGGCGGCAATTGCAAAAATAAGTAAGAAGAGAATGAAGCCAAAAGTTTCTAAGTTATTGGCTGTAACGCGTTTAACGCCGAACAATATCGTTCTTAAAAGTTTGCCCTGTGACGTGGAAAAGCCGGTACGCAATACGTAGGCAACGCATCCATTATCGGTCGCTGTAACATCGTGCGTTAATATCGTAAGGTGAGCGAGAACATTATGAAAAATGAAAGATATTAATTGATAATACCTCGAAGACCGGGAGTATTTTTGCTAGGAGCTGTATGCTGTACAACTTTTGTACCACCGAAAAGCACGTGAAGTTTACCATCTCCTTCGATATCTATAGTTCTACTTCCATCAGTATCTTCTATAGGTTCTTTCATTTGAGGTACAGATTCACCTATACATTTTCAGTCGTTATAAACCATATGTTCGTGACTTGAATGTGATACTAGCTTGTTTAAAATACCTGTTAACATGCTTTCGTCAACCACGCACGGGCCTCGCAAAAGCAACATATCGCATGGCACTAAAGTATCACGTTGAGATCTTGTAATAGAGACGATATCCCCAGGAACTAATTGGTCCGTAAATAATACGCGCCATCGCCTATTTCTGTACACCTAGAAGAAAGAATAAGCGTGGGTGAAATTCATTAGAAATAAGCATGTTACAAACAGACAGCAGCTCATATTCGTACCATTATCATGTATGGTTTATTACCCATTTTACGAATCTCGGCCATATTTCTTAGTTGCTGCTGCACCAGCGTACACTCGAACATGATAAGCATGATCAGGGTGAAGATACTGTAATACCAATATTTATCCAAGCACCAGAGTGTCACGCAGAATACTTGAAAGACGAAGAACGGAGCGATAGCGCGTTCTTTAAAGAGTTCCCAGAACTCGGGTACGACCATGTCCAACCTGGAGTAAAAAAGAAAAACAATAATTTTCAGCGATGTAAAAGGTGCCTCGCAAGAAACAAATAATGCAAGGAGTCGTTCACACTGTACTTGTTTTTTCCATATTTCTCTTCCGCTGCCTCAATTTCCTTTTCGTCAGGATACCCTTTCCATTCGCAATAATGTTTCACGGAATGATCGATCGGGAACTGCAACCCTCTGAATGACTTTACGTTCGGGTCCCAGTAATATTTTGTCTTTTGAAAAATGAACCAAGGCTCCTGCTGATCCGTATGACGTAATGAAATCAGCTCCGAGCTCCCGTTGTTTGGGGTGGGAACTACTTTAACTATCCTCGCTTTGTACGGATCTTTCGCCTGGAATTTCATTTATACGGGGTAGAAGAAGTGTCGCGAAAGAAAACGGTGAGGTGACTTGACGCGATATATTCGAATGTACCCGCCGAGTAGTGTCACGTGGCCGACCTAGCAGAAGACCGGCTGCCGTTCGAATGGCTGCCACGTTTACGGGATACGGGACATATTGGGGCCACGAAGAGCCACGTGCCCGACGCCCGTTACTTGAAGCAAATTGATGGGCGGTCGCTACTTACCGAGCTGCAGTTCAAGAACGTGTGGATGTGCACCGACCATTGACAGCAGAGGCAGAGAAAAATCTGCAGCACGCCGATCGTCGCGATGCCCACCAGGCCCGCGTCGTAATATTCGTCAACACCGTAAACGAAGATCCAACAGTAGATCCATAAGGACTGCAGGATCACGAAAGGCAGGATGTAACCGTTGAACATCCATTTTCGTGGATTGTGCAGGCTGACAGATTGCACGAGTTCGTCCACCCGTGACGAGGCCGCCGCCATGATTACGCCGACAACGATTTAACAAGTCGTCACAACGAGCGAGAAACGTCTTAACGTCCGACGAACTTTAAGCACCATTCACATCGAGAGATCCCTCTTAAAACACGCGATCCGTATACGGGCGATGCAACGCGAGCTCGGGCGACCGCGTTTTGCACATGCGGAGAAGGTTTGGGGAGAATGAGCGAGCCGATCGTGCCGCAGGGTTATGTTAAAATCAATTGGAATGGATGAGAAGTGTGTGTGCCAGCGCGGTTCTAGCTTCTAGCGTGGCGAACAGCACGGTATTTCTCAGTAGATAACCCAGTCCTACACTGAATGTAGATATGGCACTTCAAGCGCCATCACGAGCACCGCAAGCACAACTCCAAACTAAAAACGAACATGGCTATGGAACCGCTGTATTCGAACGCCGTTCACTTATCTTTAAGCCAAGTGGGAGAATACGCGTACTACGTACTTCATCTTTCTGAACAATTACAATGGGCTCTCCTTATCGACTGGTTTACCTGGACATGCTAGTCGCAATCTATTTGTGAAACACAAACGATCATTTAAATATTTTCAGAATGTTGCCAACATTTTTGATGTTTTATTTTATATAAATAAAGAATGATTGACAGTTTAAAATATCAGCGATGCAGCTAACGGATTCGCCATGACCTATCACGTTTCTAATAGAACTCCTGAATAATAATAAAGCAATTATGTAATGATCATTTATCTATTCCCGTCTCTCTGCGATTATAAGATTACTATCTGTCTACTGTCCACTTTAGATCACTGAATGTCTTGAGCAGGGACCAGGACACATAATTTCGGACTACTAAATGTATTCAAGCCAAATATTTAAAATACTTCCTTATTACGATTAATTTTAATGTGACTTTATTTCCTGGGTCAACTTATATTTTTAAACGTTCGAAATGTTTAGCATTACTTTCACTCAACCTTTCAACGTCCGGCATTGTCGTGTTACAGCGGGATGATGCTTGATCTCAAATTTTCACCAAAAAGCAATTTATCTCCATCGAAAAATTTATAGCGACAGACGTGTGCGATATCTCATATAGAAAAAAAAAAGAAATTTTAACGATTTCTGTCTACTAAACGTTAAGCTTCAGTATAAGAAGTAGCATTTCTCTTTCTCTTTCCTGACATACCAGCGACGTCGCATAATCAAGATGTATCCGTGTCATCCGGAGAAAAACTCAGTTCACGCTGTCATAAGGTCGATGAATCCCTCGCCGCACGTATTCCAGTGAAAGTATGTGTCCGCCTACCCCACCCTGAGCCCCGCAGAACTCGTGCACGTCACCCGAGGAAGGGGCCAACGCAACGCACAGGTATACCCACGTATCCCACGTTGCTAGGTAGACTCGCGGCGCGTAGAACCGAATCGCGCCAGTATCTGGACCCAGTGTCGTGGACACTTTCGAATCACGCTGGCCAAAAGTGGAGAGACGTCCGTTATGGTTGGCCGTACTCTGTCATAGTCGGTGCGACAACGAGCTACACGCGTTACAGCAACGGTAACGTCTAGAGGAGACGCGAGATCGATCCCGATTCGGATTGAATATTTCTCCTTCTTTCTGGCTTAAAATCCGTAAAGTTGACGCGGATCGAGACTCGGCCGAGGTGTCGTTTATCTAAAAAGTAAAAAATTCGAAGGTATATCGAACGCGAGACTCAACCCGGCTTTATTCTCAACCGGGGCTCTCTGTCCTTTACGATCGTCCTCAGGGCAACGATCCTGGGTCGAGTACGGGTTATCGTTTATCAACGGTGACATTGGCACGGCGATTGATCAGCACGCGATGCCAATTAAGTGACTTCGCGGCCTCCTTCCTGCCGAGACACCTGCCGCGCTCACCATAGGAGAGAAGGTTCTATCAAGGAGGGGTGAATCATAACGATAGGTCGAAATGGCGTTTGCGTGGTACCTAATATTATCAATCGTAAGTGATCGGTCCAATCTCATGTTAAGAGCTAACTAATCGCCGTAGTTGCAGAGTACGCAGGAAGCTGGATATAAATCTGATGTAACGTTCTTTCTATTAATTGTAAACGCGCACGCTGATGTATATACCTTTCTAATCGCGAATCGACATTAACTCATCTTCTTGATTAATAGCTGACGCTTTTTTATCTACCGATTGAATTACGCGTAGGCTGAATCAGAGCCGATTAATACTGTCGCAAGAACGCGTTTGTACCGTACAGGAAGTACCTCGATAAGCGATCAATTACAAGTCGGTGCAGCATTTCACAATAAGAGTGGTCCCACATTGTACATTGTGCTGAGTCAACACTAGTGATCTCGTGCTTCAAGTTTCATTGTGTATTTGACCGCAAATGCAAAACGCGTGTAAGCTACATTTCCACGTGCGTATACGAAGGGAATGAATATTTCGCGTAGAATTAAGAATCGAAAAAGAAATTAAAAAATTGGCATTTTCTAGTCTTCCGAAATATAACGTTTTTTTTTTATGAATTTGATTATTCTTGTATGTGCCAATAGTTTTTCTTGATGGTCACCCGGGGCGAACCCTGCACCGAGTACGGATGTCCAGGGCGGCCGCAGTACGAGCCTTTCGTACCCGCGCCTCCAGGACATACTCCTCACTGCGCGCCACCGGGGCAAACCTTCTGCGAAACCCCGGACCATTATCCTCGGTAAGTACCCTTAGAACTCTTCCCTTCCCTAAAAAAAAAAAAAAAAAAAAATTATCGCTGCCGAATCAGCGACGAGGTAACGCAACAAGTGGAAATCTGCGATGATCCGGTCGACCCATTTCCAATTGTTGATATTCCTTTCGCCGCGTCCACCGTGTCCACCTTCCGCCTTCCTCTATGCATACGAATGATCGACGCGCACGCTGAGAAAAACTTCTGGAGGGGAAAGTTCCGCTAACTCCTCTTCTCCTCGAGGTGAGAATCCGTTTCTCGAAAGCATCGAGTTCGCCTTAATAGGCTTGCACAACCAATTTTATGCCGGAACGACTCTCGCCCGTAAAACAATTTTTGTCCCTCGTTTTTTATAAGCGCGATCTATGGATCTAGCCCAGAAAAATTCGCATCTCTGCCGCGATCGAATCACAGAAATCAGATGTTTCAGCGTCCGTTAGTTACCCTCCGCCCGCTGTTACCGTGCTATACATACGCAAGTGATTCGTCGGGTAGATTTCCCAAACGCTCGCTTTTACGCTCAAATCCTATCCCGAAGATGTTAGGAAGAGTTACGTAAAGTGAGCGGCCGCTATAATGTAAGAACGTTCGTGAGATCGTTGCTTAGCGTACCATGACCATGGCCTTGGCGCGGTCATACGTTGTTGGATAATTATTGGGCCCGTTACATTAGTTCCAAATCGAGCCCCGTCGTGTCCGAATACCGGTATGTCTTTCTTTCTTCTTCACTGAACAAATCGCTCCTTCGACATGACCTCAAATATTTACAATTTACATGAATAATACTCCTATCGAGTACTCGCGAATCGTACATATTTGAATAAGTTTGCAGAAAATGAATAATAAAACAGACGATTGCGCAGAAATAAAACAACGGTGTTTTAGCGCTTAAAATTAAATTTTTTTTTTACAATTCGGATATCCGAAAATATTGCTGATATCGCATTATTCCGTCTTGTGCAGATTAAAAATCTTTCAGCACTGCGCAATAAAATAAGTTAGGTTTCGATAAGCTGCAACGATCCCACCCGTTGAATAATTTTAGCAATTGGAGAAACTTGTGATTGCGACAGCTGTCACTTCCGATAATTATGCGCGTAGGAACGACTCGAACAACGGTCAATTACACTGTCAGAAATATCAAATTGCTGACTCGAGTCAGACCACGTCGGTTCACGGCATCCCGCGTGTCATTTCGCCGCAAACAAACACGCTGCATCTCGCGCCTGGCTAATGCTTGCTCAGGCCTAACACAGTTGCGCAATACACCCAATTGAGTACGCACCTGCGTAAATAACCTTTTGTCAACCTGGAAGAGAGACGAATCTCGGTCGTCCGGCCGAGAGACAGAATGGCCGGTATCTTTGATAAGCGTTGCAGCAAGACCGCGGCTCGCGTGCGGAGCCAAAGGTCGAATGTAATTCTCGAGGGAATGCATCATTCGTTTTTATTAACGCATTGTATTCCGTCCTCGAGAGAGGTAACGGTTTCTTTCTTTTTCTTTTTCTTTTTTCTCTCTTTATCTCTTTTTAGACAACTCATCAAGTTTCTCGTCGACAAATGCAGCTTCGATTTTAACACCGCGTTGCAAGATGAATCCCGCGAAGATTTCAACGTTTACAGGTACATTTTCAGTATACTGAATTATCTTGATATATTTATATACTGACAAAAGAAACGGTAATTATTTAGAATTAAAGTTTTTTCCCAATTTTGATATTTTTTACGGCTGTCTTGGCAAAAAACTTTGCTGTGATTCCAACGATGATCAGTCGGAGAAGGTTGATGAATGGAGGGGGAACAACGCTGTGGCTCTGGTCTCGAATCTGAGCGCAGGAAGGGCTCCCAAAATCTGACTTTCAAACCCTAAACCAAATTTGGCTCCGCCTCTCCCGGGGATCCAAACATTTACTTCAATATGCAAACAATGTTTGAAGTATGGAGTTGAACATATATTTATCATATGTTTGATCGATATATTTACCTAAATTACAACTTTTTAAAAGAAAACGCTAATTGAGAAAAGTTACTAAAATTCGCAAAAAAATATAACTTTCTTATCTCCTCCATACGATTTTTCAACTTGACAAAATACACTCTTTCGCAAAGAAAAAAATTGACAAACTTCAGAATTGGGAAAAGCCTTAATTCTAGGTAATTACCAAAGAAACTTATACGTGAAAGATATTTAAAGCAGATAAGTTACGAATAACTTAATAATTTCTACCGTTAGAGATATTGATGTATAATTAATCATTAATTGGATTATTATTGATATTCCCGCATATTCTCCTTATTACCATTTTTAAGTTCTCCTCCGGATTATAACCAAGGCTATGATTATCCACGACATGACGATCAATTATACACTCAGCCTCCTATAAGAGGACAGCCAGCCTCAGAATATGGCCTTCCGTCCAATAGTAGCCGTTATCATAGGTAATACTCGTTACGCATACACGTGTCAAATTATTTACATCATCGTAACAGACATAAGATGCACTTAAGTAGCGATACCAGCGAAGTAAAAATGATATTAGTATACAAAGTTAAATTTTCGATTCGTCGAATTGCAGTTACAAATACTCCGCACCGCCACAAGCGCAGAGGAATCCCTTCCTCCCGGAAGTAACGCTGAAATATCATCAGGACGTCCCACGACAGATCGATCGTGCTTATTCGCAGGAACCCATAAGCGTACTAGAACCAAACCAATCGTGGCTGACCAATAGGTACGAAATATTAAAGAAATTAAAATGGAGAAGTTAAAATGGTGACTGTTTCTTGCGCGCGCGCTTAATACCTATATTTACATCTTGTGTTAAATAATAGATATTCGCGGGGTGGCAAGATAGCGCCGCGAAGTTATAGCGTGAACCCGTTGTTGGGCTACGCGAAACTTAAGGACGACCGTGTAAAGAGACAGTCGGATCCGGAAGTCATCTCCCTGTGCCCCACACAAGCGCAGTATATTGCTCCCCAAGCTGCTCTGAACAAACAGGGCAACTGGATGTACGTTGTTAATCTTCCGGGACAGAACAAGTACACGCAGCTCGTCAGAAGCGAGAAATGCCTGTAAGTGTACTCGGAGAATTTGTGATGATAAATCTAACACAGGGTCAGAGGATTTCTAAAGAAATTGCTCTAATTTAATTCGCGTATTACATTTTAATTTTCACGTTTACTCTAAGTGGACGTTAACTCATAGGAGAGGTCATCTTTTTTTATCGCATCGGAACGATGTCCTTATCGAACTCGAGGGAGACTATAAAGAACGAGGAGATACCAATCCTCTTATGCTTTTAGGAACGACGTATGCAACGGTATATGCTCCATTCCGGAGGGATACAGAAGTAGATGCCAGCAACAATTCGTGCAAAAGAGACTAGTCGCGCTCGAGGGGAGCGGGAATCGACTTTACACCGATTTGTTCTGGTTTCCGCACGGTTGCACGTGCCAGATCATACCGAATTACTGAGAATGCGGCGACTACGGCGCGCGGCGTCGCGCTATAGCGCAAATGGGGTGCGTTTTCAGGGGATAAGCACTATTAAACGCGGTTGTACACGTCGTTCTCTTCGCGATTGTAATTCCGCGACCACAGAGCGCGCCTGGCAACGGCATTGAAAGTGAGTACCGATAATGTAGCGTTCTATGAACGATGCGCACCCGAGTAAATGTGTACCGCGACGTGCATTACCAGCGGTGTAAGGCGGAGACGAATACACGTTATCAGCGTATCATTAATTGCCATTGTTAATTGCAAATCGCAAACGGCGTAATTCTGTTAAAGGCGTCAATGAACGCTCTCAACGTGTCTTTGCGATGAACAGGCGGGGAATTTTTCAAAAATGTCGCTGTTCCGATATCACATACGATATTACATGTATACTCGCGTCGCCCATTTTTAGCGTAAAGGTGAAAAGGTGAAAATGGGCAGTGAAAAGCAGCAGCAAGTCGTACCGATTGGCTACAAAATAGAAAAGTTCTCGAGTTTCTAGAACTTCTCTATTTTGTAGCCAATCAGTACGACCTGCTGCTGCTTTTCACTGCTCATGAAATTTCACCTTAAGAGATGTATATATACATATACATATACATGGTCTTTTATATACTTCATTGACTATGGTCAAAGTTATCTCGAATATTTCTTATTTATCTTTCGGCATCTTCGATCGTCGATTTACTCAAAATTCTACAAAGGTAGGTCGTGCAATTTCGCGCTATTATCGCAGATCAATTATACATATCGTTTTTAATTAATATTACTCTCTCTTTTATTTCAACAGTATGTGAAAATTTTATTTAGGAGATGTCTCAATAGATATAGTTGTATCGCCATGATTAAGCTTATTTATGCAATATAGGCATATTTCTCTCCAGTAAGATTAAAGAGGGACGGCGCGGCGGAAGGAAATCTCGTAATTGTGTAATAAAAAATTAAAAGCAGATCTTTTATGCGCGCTATTTGTACGCGAATAAATAACACAGATAATTAATTTATCGTTGTATGCTGTTTATTGATATCGGCTGCTTTTGATTTAAAAAAAAGAAAAAAAAACGTGAAAACATAAATCGCGTAAAATCGTTGCGTGGAGAAAAATAAAAGATTATTATTTTAAAATCTGTGAATCTTCAAACTATAAATTATTATTAGAGATTACGAAAAACTTCTCCTTAAGATGGACAAGCGTCGATTGTCATGCGACTTATCGTATACTAAATAACTTATCGGCTGCACAACCAACAGAATGTTGCGTGAAACATAACATCGCGGTTTTAATCGTGACACCTTATCAAGGTGGATGTACTAAATGTTCGAAGAAATCGAAGAGAGACCCGAGAGGGCATAAAATAAAGGATCTCGATTTCACAATTTGCGGTTGAAAAAGGACAGACGAACGAGCGAAAAGAGGGACGAAGGCTAAGTGACGAGAGGCGGGATGAGGAGGGAGGAACTGGAGGTCAGACACGCGCAAGTTTCGCGTGGAAATGTTGTGGGGTAACACGACACCCTTTTCGCGCCATTTCCCGACAATTTTCGCGAGCCCTTGCTGTAACCAGTAATGCCAGAAATGAGACGTGGCCTCATTTGTGATCGTCGCTTAAGCGCCTCTACCTCTACGCTGGAATTTTCTCCCGCTAGGAGCGTCCCACTGCGAAGCGGTATATAGATCTAAACCAATCAAAAATAGTTTCAAAAATTCCTTTTAGCGTTTTTGAAAATTCGAATGGCAGACCTAATATGGTGACTGGAATTCATAAAGTCGACGAAGAATTTAATAAAATCATCAAATTACATGAGAAATCTGGTGAAAGAATAGATCTAAGGAGAAAAATAATTTTTCTTTTATTATTGTTAATATGTTTGTTTTATAACAGTATTATAGAAAAATCCTTCGCCTACCTTAGTATTTAAATAGCTTTGAGTAAATAAATTTTCAATTAAAAATTATCGCTGAAAAACACGTTTCCAAGAGAGAGAGGGAGAGAGACCATTTAGCGCGCCCCGGATTCGCTGTAGATTCCGTTCTGCTTGGAGAAACGCGCTCTCACACGCACCCACTCGCTTGCACCTGCTCAAGAGCCACCCCCCGGTATTCCCCTCGGCATCCCCCCGCGTCCAGCAAAAAGAAGGGTGAATTCTAGGCGTACGTACGTATGTACGTACATAAGTGCAATGCGTTGCACCTACATACGGTGCGCCTATACCCGTGCACTTGTACCTTATGCGTTTCCCTCCACTCGTGCGTGACAGAAGTGTCTGTACACATGAGGTGGATGGTAGGCTACTTGAAGGGTTTCCGTTTATATGCACGCGCGTAAGCGTGTGTGAGCCAGCGACGGACGAAGGGGCCTTCCGCAGAGAAGCGAGGTCGTCCTGCGATGGCGTGCGTATGTACGGAGCGAAGGATAATATATCAATTAAGAGAATTCTATTTCGCATTTTTAACACTTCGCGTTTGACTCTACGATGCACAGGTCCATAATCGGAACCTCATTGTAAAAGTATCACGACTTTTTTTTAAAAGAATATTTTTTCATACTTGTTGTAAAAACGCCAAACGGTATAGCACGATAATTTACCGCAGTTTGCCTCGCATCTGGAGCCTCGACGAGATTAAATCGAAATTCCGAGTCGATTCACGGCGTCCAGATGTCACGTTTCAGGAAGAGGAAGCCCACCTTTGATCCCTACCAAGTCGCAAGATGACGAACGAAGCACATGGACCGCGCAAACGACGTGGACTTGCTTACAAAAATATACCAAATCCATAAGCAGAGAAAAGCTGCTACGTCACGCGTGTGTGTGTGTATGTATATATATATATACGCCATTAATTCGGTGGGAGAGTTCATTAATTTCGATTGCGACGCGCAAAACCGTACGCGTCTTGTATCAAATCACATGTCTGACCCATTTCCGCTTCCGTGCCATTTCCTGAGCGCGCGCGATCGGATAGGTCAAGTTTGCCGACACGGTCCCACGTTTAACCATAAAACCTTACGGCGGTCGCGCCAGCACAATCACAATTTCGCGAAATCGCTTGATTAATTAGGCGCGCCGTTATTTCAACCGAACGTCAATTGGTGAAAATACATTGAACGGAATCGGGGTTTACTGTGCGTAAAAAAGACTGCGTAAGGTCAGCGCTGACGGCACCGACTTTACCTATGATATTTTTTTTCCACGAGCGAACTTGCATAAAAAAAGCGACCTTGGGTACCCGGTAACAATTTTTTTTAATGTGACGTAAGTTCATCGGCGGCGTTTAATGCACCGTGCACGCGCGAACGCTCTGCGTCATCGAATATCACCGTGACATTATTTATTGAAAGCGAACTATATAATATGGGAGGCATCCGAGCGATCGCCCTTCAATTGCGTTCGAGAAAATATTTCACTCGGTTCGTCCGAATAGAAATTGCGAGCTCAAAACGGCAACTGAGAGATATATATATACATATATTTTTTAAAGAGAGATAGCAGCTTTGTTTCCGTTTCTGCAACGAGATCAGAACTACGGCCGGAGGGTTCCGAACTTTTTTTTCTCTTCTCGAAAATTCCTGCCACCCCCGACGGGGAGTTTTACAGTAATCTCCGTGCCAAAAGTCTATTGTGCTCTCTATCTCACTCCGAGCATCCATATCCCCCTTCCTCTTTTTCTCTCGTGCTACACCGAGCCGGTCGACCGGCAGCTTCGAGCGCCGGGATAAAGTCACGAGCAGTAATTATGAACGATAGCAGGGGAGAGAGAGGATATAATTGTGATTGATGGAAGAGAAGGGAGGAGCAGGGGGTGACTTCCTTTTAATCTCGAAGCTAACCCTTTCGTTCATCCATTGCCGCTTCTACTCGGCCGACACCGCACGGCGCGGCGCAGCGCGGCGACGCGGTTTTATTACCTCGGATTGTATCTTCGCGGGAAAAAAATTGAGGTCTTATAGATCTTGTTCCGTTCTAAGTCAAAACCGGAACTGTTAAATGATAGATTTTATGATAGCAGCACATAAAATTTGTGTTTATTCTAGTATGTTATAATTTCTATTTTTATGAAGAGCTCCAGAGAGATGTAGATATACGTATATTATTTTCATCAGTTATATATATGAATCCTACTCGGAACAGATTTACCCAAGTAGGAAGTGGAAGTAAAATCTGGAGAGATTGACGATTGAAAATGGTTGAACTGAGAATAAGTATCTAATGATAACGTGTGTTTGATTAAAGACGAGGGAAATCAAAGACGAGGAAGAGAGCTGAATTAATAATCGTCGTTGTTCTGTATGGACGAGAATAATGATAGTCTATAGCTTAAACGGACGCTCTAAATCGTCGTTATAAAACACGAAAGAAAGCCTCGCAAAGAGCGAGGAAGCCCGGCGTGTCCGCTTCGTACGCGCATTATCCCCGATGCCTGCCGCTTCGCGTGCATGCGTGCATGCGTGCGCGCATGCTGCGTATACGCGTGTGTGCGTGTGTGCGTGTGTACGTGTGTGCGTACGTGCGTATTCTCCTCTCCTTTCTCCGTCGCGTCTCTACGCACTCGACTCCGCAGTCCACGCACCGCCGAGCGAGCGAGCGAGCGGGAGTCTGCGATCAATGCGTGGCACTGCCACTGGTCGTCATGGCAACGTAGCGCGCCACGCACAACGAGCGAACGATCCGCGTCGATCGTGCGTAAGTGCGTGCTCCGGGCGCGCGCGCGCGCGCGTGCTTACGCGCTCACGCACGCACGCACGAACACGCGCGCATGGCCTCACTTACACGCTCACTCACAGACGGCCTCCTGCGACGTGCCGCGACGAGACTCGCGAAAGACCGCGTGCAGAGGACGATCGATGGCCCCGCAAACTTCGCGGCGGTATACTACGAGCACGTGACGCACCCGACAACGAGTCCGCATGATTGCACGTTAAATGTTTTCAAACCTTTTTATCGATATCTTCGTATGTAATTGTAATTTAGATGGTAAACAGAGTTATTTTAAATAAAAATATGCTTCATCTACATCGAGGAGATTACAAAACAAAATTTTGATTGCTAGCTCGTATGCAGTATTCCTTGGCTTATGCGAATAATCATCTTCAATGACTTTTTTAAGGGAACGGCGTCGTGTCACTCGTGTCACGTATCTCTCCTTATCAAACGTGATAACAAGGATCAGAACTTGATCCTGGGAGATGTTGCGGGTTCGCGTGTGACAAAAGTTGCGTAATAGGTATCACCACAAAATTAGCCGTTAACAACACGGCTCCTTTTTTTTCTGGATTTTCTGGTTTACCGTGTCGACAGCTGTCCCGAATTTCCTGTTGAGTTTTTGTCAATTTACCTGAGTTTTCCTTCCTAATTTATGTCCTGTGAAACGTCCCGTTTCGCAACATGCAACCGCAAATTAATTATTCACGTAGCACATTAAGTCTCCTGATGGTTATTCTATTATGAACAGTTGAATGCGCTACGTAATT